AGTAAAATACACCTACAGATATATCCTGAAACAAGGAATCAGAAAATTGTGTTTTTCAATAAGATTGTACAGATTTGTCAAAAGAAATTATTTTTCAAGATATTCATTAGTAAATCTTGCACAACCTATTTTAAAATCTTAAAAGAAACAGACGTGAGTAAAATCGGACTTTAATTTAACAGCGATAATTCCTTTTTTTTTTAAATTTTATTTAGGTGCTCCAAGAAGTCCTTACAGTCTTATCACAAAACATCTCGGATGAGCATTTAGTTGGAAGTTCACGCCTCCTTCTTTACCGATGTCGCCAAACTTGCCCAGAGGTGGGGTTTGAACCACGGATCCTTTTTTCTGAGGCAAGTGCGCTACCACTGCGCCACGGCTGCTCTGATTTTTTAAATAGAGGACTAATATTATTAAATTTTATCTTTATAAATTGTTTTATTTTAATATATTGTGAGTTTTTAATTGATTTTAATTTTTAAATAGAGGTGTTTGAGATTTAGCTAGACTATAAAAACCCACAAAAAAAAACTAATATTAGTAAACAATAAAAAAAGTAATATAATAACATAGTATTATATAATAACATTTCTGACCAATTACTTTAAGCGTTAAATACAGCTTATATAATGCTTCATATTTTGACAGCAGAAAAAAACTACGATAAATTTTTAATGAAAGAAATATGCAATTACTTTTTTTTTTAATTTTTATTTTAGTAACGACAGGACTTCCAGAAGATCATGAGGATCTTGTCATGAAGCTCTTTACAATATATGGTTAATTTTTAACAAAAATACAATGTCTGCAGTGAAATAATAATAATACACCTTTATACAAAAATATTTAAAAACGAAGATAAAATGTTAAAAAGCCAAGAAAATGTTAAACCAAATAATATACAAAATAAAACAACAACAACAACAACAAAAAAGCAATTAAAAATAAATCAAGATATTTTCAATTAATAATATAATTTTTATAAGTTTCTGTTTGAATAAAGCAAAAGTCAGTTGGGTGGAAAAATCAAAATTTGGTAAGACTATTTTGTTCCCGAGACGAGGTGAGAAAAAAAAAACTGGTCTTTGCTTTTACGACAAAAAGAGGCAATAAGATTGTTATTAGGGTAACCTGGAGCAAAGCAAGACACCGTGGGAAAGTGAGACATTTAGGCTTTCTAGCATTGCACAGATTTTTTTTGAAATGCTACAGTAATTTTGGTTTATTAAATTAAAAGTTTAATGTTTTTTTAATGTTTTAAAGTAGTTTCCATCAGTTTTTTCCTATAATATGACATAGAAAAGTGGGTTAAAAGCTTACGAGTTGCGTCAATTTGATTAAAAAATCAAAATTAATTTTTTTTTTGTGGAAAAAATCCACGCACGCTGCCATTTTTTACCACAGAACAAACATATTATTAAGTTTGTAATCATTTATTTGTTATCTTTCAGCTCCCATTCTTCTTTTTATGTTAGAAAAAAATAATAGGAAAGAAAAAAATAATAATAAAAAAAAAAAAAAAAAATTACTGGAAAAGAACAATGACAATAAATTAAATTAGAGAAATATAAAATAGAACAAAAAGAAAAAAAAACTAATGAAATGCTTGATTGAAACAATGAAGAGAAATGGTTTTGTCTAGTTTGTCAAGAAAAATAATCCAATAATACCCAAATCGACTGGATGGCTTGTTGTGTATGTACTGTACATTACACGATATTTGGGTACATGAAGACTGTACATTAAACGATATTTGCTTTTTAAGTGTAAAGATTTTATTCAAATTTGTTGACATAAAACTTTTTTCATTTTTTCTATTGATAATATTTTTTATTTTTATTTTTTGTTATTTTATATTTTTGATTGATATTTTTTCCTATCATGTTTTTTGATTTAAAAAGAAAAATTACATAATAAAATGATACCTTTGTGTTTTTATTGGCATTCTTATATTTTTTCAGATCTAATTTATCAAAGTCTGCTTTAATTTTTATTGAAAATTATATTTTTACTTAGTTTTTTCTTCAAATAAAATTTGTCTCACTTTGTCCCAGGTTTTGGGGAAAGTGAGACAAGGTAGTTGTTGCCATTTTGAGTTTAATTATGTACCAATGCAACAACCTATCACCACAATTATTTAAGAAATTGTTAAACACATAATGTGCTAGTGGCCTGCAAAATTTCTTGTTGTGAAACGTGATACTTCTTAAGTTATGAATATTCTCCCTGAAAGTGTCTCGCTTTGCCCCAGGTTACCCTAATTCAAAGATTAAATTTGTTTTTAGGTTTCATACAATAAAGATTTTGTAATACATTTGGCGACAAATATTTTCTACATTTAAACATGAAACATAAAATATCAAAGACATTTAGTTGATATACAATTAAAATATTCATTTTTTAAAAAAGTTGCTTTCGTATGAAAAAACCAATTTTTAAAATTTATTGCGCGAGTTGCGTGTTTCTGATGAAGATAAAGAGGTTTTAGCTTTGTTCTATGAATGCTTCCCCATATAATATTTACGTAGTTTATATAACAACGTATGAATGAATATTATGTTAACTGGTGTTTACTTAATATATTTTGTTGCTTTATAGAGAATTTTATTGAAGGTATTATCAATATGATTTCTCCAAAATAGATTTTCATTAATATATACTCCGAGAAACTTTGTAACTTTTTCTCTTTTTATTATTATATTATTAATTAAAAGGTCTGGTATGATGTGAGGCAGTTTCTGATTTTTTATAGGTGGATAAAAAAGTGTCCATTTAGTTTTTTCGAGAGTTAGAGACAATCTAAAACTTCTTTTAAATTTACTTAAACGAAACAGAAAGTTTTTTTAATTCATTTGTCATATTAGTAAAAAGACAAAAACAAATTTTGTCTTTTTACTAATATGAATCTGCAAAATTTGTTGTTAAATTTGATCATTTATGTATTTAAAAAAAATAAGAGGACCAAGTATGGATCGTCGTGGAACACCACATGTTATATTCATTAATAGATGAGATATAGAACCTTTATTGTAAACAAACTGTTCACGGTTAATAAGATATAACCATAATAGGGTTTTATCTTTAATACCATATGATATTAGTTTTTTTAACAGGATTTGATGATTGACGGTATCAAATGCCTTGGACAAAACACTCCTAGTGTAAAACAAGAGTCTTTAAATGTATCAGTTATATTGCGCGTAAGTTGAAGAATAGCATGCTCGGTTGAATTACTTTTTTTGAAACCGAATTAGTTTTCGTATAGAATTTTTTTTCAACAAGATAAGAGTAGATTCGGTTGTACAATATTCTTTCTAAAATTTTTGAAAAAACAGAAAGAACTGAAATAGGACGATAATTTGTTATATTTGTACGATCCCCTATCTTGAAGATTGGAATTACTTTTGCTATTTTTAGTTTATCTGGAAAAGACCCTTGTGCAATGGATGATTTGGGAGTAAATTTTTATTTGGTTTAAGTTTTCCAGACACCTACTTTATGATTTGCCAGACGCGTTTTGAATTGTGTTTATATTTATTAAGCAAGTTTGAATAGTAATTTTTTTTTTTTTGCATTTTTGTGAAGCTTTTCAAATAAGTTTTTATAAGCTTTTTTTTTCAAATAAGTTTTTATAATTTTGTTTATGTTTTTCTGATTTTGATTTTAGGTATTTAATGTATAGCTTCTGCTCAATTTTTGACGATTTTCGGGGACCTTTAGGAATCCAAGGAGATGACATTTTTATATCGCTTAAAACTATTTCAATTATAGGAAAATTGGAATCATACACTAGGTAAAAAGTTTTGAAAAAATTGTCGTAGATTATGTTGATATTATCATTAAAGTTAATATAACCCCAATCAATAATTGATAATTGTTCTCTGAAAGAATTTAAATTAATATTGTTGATAAGCCGTTTTATTAAAACCTTTCCCTACTTTTTTTTTTAAATTAAACACATATAGAAAAAAAATTATTGAAAAATAAATGATATATTGTAAAGCAGCTTTTTTTTAATGTTTCAACTTTAAGACTGGCAAGTAAAGTAATTATTAATTGTGAACTAAAAATTTAAAACATAATCAAATAGTTAAAACCTAAGTCTATTTAACCTATTTAAAGTTAAACCTTGTTGATTGTAACTTTTCATTAATTTTTAATTATGTTAACTTATAAATAAAAAAAATTAAACTTTTAAGCATATAAATTTATTTCAGTTTAAAGAAACGGCAAATTTTTGATAGCATTCATCTGTTTAAGGTAGGTACTATAAAATCTGTTCATTGTAGCCGATTTAAAGTATTTTGAAATAATTTTATATTCTAAATAAGCAGATTTTAATATAGCATTCTCCAGCACAAAAATAAAAAACGAATCTATCTTTTATCAGATAATAAATTACGTTGTAGCCAATGTCATAATATATTGCGTTGTAAAATTGGTAATACTTTTTTTAATTATAATCAAAAAAAGTTTAAAAAGAATCCAAACAGCATTTTTTAATAATGAAAAAGTTTTCATAGATTTTGAATACTAAATGTTGAGAAACATTTCTTTTTTTGTGCTTTTAAAAAGTATCTCTATGAAGACCTAGAACCTAGTCACAGAGGATTACGACACAAAATTTATTGCGTAAATTTTTGCCGCCTCTTTTTTTACCGCTGTCACATTTATGGAAATGAGGGAACATTACCCAACGGGTCTTTTAATTTTCAAGTTTTTTTCAGAAATTTCTTTTATTTTAATATAAAACTGGTTCATAATGAATCCTCGGGGCTTATTTTTTATTGGTATTATCCCTGCTCACATGATCAATACAAACTGTTTAATTTCAATGCTTACATGATTAATGCTAACATTTGATTTCTTGAAATTTTTGGCTTATTTTATGTGCCACTAACACTTTCATAATTACCACTATTAAGTAAAGTACTTTACTATTAATAACAGCGTAAGTACTTTACATTCTTAAAGTAATTTTAAACTAATTTAATGTTTTGCTTTAGATAAAAAATGAATTTTCTAGTTATATTAGTTGTCTGTTGTGTTATAATCCAATCTTTGGAAGGATTTGGCGGAGGAATGATACCTGAAACTGTTAGACGTAAAAATGCTGCTCAAAATTATCAGGTAACAAACTTTTAACTATTGAAAAAAATAAAAATGTTGTTTACTTTATTTATAATTGGTATAATATTATTTGTTTCAAACACGCATTATTTTTAACAATACATGACATTTTATTTGTTTCAAACATTATTTTTAACAATACATATTTGTTATAATCTTATTATTTTAATAATAATTTACAAATTTTATTTAAATTTTAAATGTAGATATGCACTGAAAAATTGTTTTCAAAAAATAAGCTTTAAAAACAACTTATTATCAATGACATAAAAACTTTAAAAAGGAGTAATATGAGATGATGTGTATAGGAGGTCGATAAAATACACACCCACTATTAAAGATGGGTGAAAGCTATTTTAAACATAAAAGAAAAAGTAATGCTATTTATCTGACATTTGGTAATTGAAATCGTGTGCAAGGTACATTTAACAAATAGAAGAGATGTGTTGAATTTTCAAAAGTATGTATAAAAGTATGTAATATAAAACATGCACATAAAAATTAGAAAGTTGAAATAACAGATATTGAAGAAGTAAAATAATTTTTTTAAAATAATATGAAGTTTAATTTTCTTTTTCCATATTTTATGTAAACGAGGTATTAAAAATATCAATTTTGTGAACTTTGAAGCATGTTTTTTTACATTTTTCTATCTTACCACATATTTTACATTGCTTTCAACCTTTGTTCCGTTGCTCGATAAATAAAGGATCTGGAAACCACCCAGAATTTTTTAAAACAATCTTTCAAGTTCTGTCATTTGTTTGTTTTTTTATAATTTTTCTCTAAATATTCCCTTTTTGTTGTTGTTTGCCTCCATTCCTTCTTCGCTCCATGCTTTAAGGTCTGTGTTGTTATTCTTTGTGTTGTTGTTTGACTCAAATAGTTCCCAAGTATGTTCTAACAGCTTACGACTAGTTAATGTCGAACTAACACAGAGCATTTCTTGTAGAAGAAGAATGTTTATCTCTTCACATATGTCTCTATATTTCTTTATGTTAATTTACTGACTAGATGACATAGCACAAATAATAGTAGACAACAAGAGACCATACCGCTCAGCTAATATTTTGTCACGTTGATTTGTAATGCAGTCAGTAATCAGTGTTCATTTTTCTCATTGTTAAGAAGAGCTTCTAGCTTTATTGCCAGTTATAGTAGTACCCCTTTGATCTGATATACCTGTAAAGTCCCATTTAATTCAGGTTCTTTTGCTTATTAGCTCCTGTATATTTTACTTCTCTACTTAAAGTGGGCACTACTGTCTGTGTTCAATTCTGTCCATGCATGGAATCCTGCAGCCATACGAACCACCACTTTTATAAAGGGATCATTTCTGCAAATAATTTTAAAGGGGTCAAACCCATGGAGTAATGTATAGAGTACTTGTACAGACCTTACATTAAATCCAGGTTTTGCAACAATGTTTACTTTGATATTCAGATATAGTCTATCAATGACAATAATGAAACGTTCCTCTTTCATTGTTTTGATATCTGCATTAAAAAAAAGTTAAAGACTGTGCATTCTAACGGAAATTTTTTTTTTCCAATTGGATCATTAGAGGCCTTTGTGAAAAATCTGAGTTTGCGGATTTTTGTTCCCATATTAAGTTATTTCTATCAGCATTAGAGTTTTGGAGGATAAAAGATTGCCATGATTATATTATTGATATTTCCATTATGTAGCTGATTTTACATTTTACGTCCTCAATTTAACTTATCTTCATTAAATGACGGCAAAATAAAAAATGTTAAAAATAAATGTATTAAATTTTATGATTTACACTCTAGAAAGTCATTAATATACAAAATTAAGTTTTGTTCATAAATGCAGTAATATTTGTATTAGTTAAAAAATATTGTACAATAATTATGTCATTTTATTACTTAATTAATCTATTTATTTGAAGTTTGTTTTTACCTCTACTTGTCTAACTTTTATGAGAGCTTCTTTGTCAATTTTGATACGTTTTGCAAAAAACTTTGACTTTTTTTAGGTTGTTGAAATGCCTAAATGTATTTTTTAATATTAAATCGGAATGTTCATCAAATTCGTTAATATCCTCCAATATTTTAAAACCTGCAAATAATGTCTGTACTGAATTAAAATTGTTATGTGATATTATTTTAAAAATTTCTTTTTCTGTGTAGACAACTATCTTGTTTTAGTAAAAGCTTTGCTTTAGTTTTATATTTCCATCTATATTTCATATTCGGGTAAATCACCAATAATCATTAAATTGGATTATTTTCCATTGATCACTACCTTTTTTATTAATTCATTAATTGAGTTGTTTACTAAGTCACTATTGTTTGTTGGTTTGAATATACATTCAATTAATGTTTTTGTTTTATGAAGTGCTCACCGTATTTGTTCAAATTCCTTATATAAAAATGAAACTACTACTTTATGAGCAATTATATCAAATTTGATAAAAAAAACGCCTCTACCTTGGAGGTGTTTTTGTTGAGTTTCTATCTCCTTATTTTCATTACTTTATCTCATTTTATCTCACTTTTTTCTCTTTCATTTGTTCCGCTTGCCACTGTATTTATTATGAGCATTTGTTCAGCAGATTTCCTTCCTTTATCTGCTCATGTTACACTTGCATAAAAAGTTGCATAAGTGTAGATTTACTATTTTCCAATTCTTTAACTCTTTTCATTAATTTTTCATTATCACTGTTGAGTTTTTTGATCAAACCTTTTAACTCTATTTGTATTTGCTCTTGTTGTGTTTTGTAAGTGTTAAATTCCGTGATCTGAACACTTACCATTTTCTTTTTACCTCGAAAAGTTTTTATTTGTTTCTGTTTTTCTTTTCATTAAAAAATAAAAAAACGTCTGCCGTCTTTTTTTTAAGTGAAAAAGATTTTTTTTAAGTGAAAAAGTTTTTTTTTAAGTGAAAAAGTTTTATTTTATGCGGCAAAATTTTTTTTTTTTTGAAAAATGAACAACTCTTATGAAACAATTGTTTGGAATAATAACTTTTTTCTTGAAACGGTTGTTTAGAATGATACTTTTTTTCATGAAAAGATTGTGTTACTTGCAAATAAATATTATTATGACAATTATTAAACATTAAATTTTTTTTTTTTTTAATTCTTCCATAACGTTTGGACTATAATTTTACAATTTATTTGAGCGGCCGTGGCGCAGTGGTTAGAGTACTGGCTCAGAACCCAGAGTTCCGAGGTTCGACGCCAGCTCCAGCCCAAAAAGCGACATTGGTACGGAAGGAGGCGTGAACTTCCTATTAAATGCTCTCCCGCGGTGCTCTATGATAAGACCACAAGTGCTTCTGGGAGCACCTAAACACATACAAAAAAAAAAAAATTTATGACGTTATGGTCAATAATGTCATAAATAAAATATAAGATATAAACCTTTATAAATAAAACAAAGATTTCTTTAAATATAGGGTAGATTGGGGTATTTTGAACACCTTAGACGAAAACGAGAATATTTTTAAGAATAATAATGGTGGATCATAACTATTCTTGAAAATAATTTTTAAGAATAGTTATGATCATAATTTTTTTTTTAAATCAAAAAATTAATTCGTTATCTTTTCAATTTTATTAACTCAATTTTTGAATTGATAAAAATACAAGTTTTTTGAAACTAAATTGTAGAAAGTAATCATTTAGTAAAAATATTAAAATTTTTAACTTTATTTTCCATTTTAAAAAGTCATTAAAACCACTGCAATTTTAGGACTTAAAACTAGGTAATTTCAATAAAAACACTAGGTAATTTGAGCATTACATGAAAATGGTGTCTTTGAATAAAGTTATAAATAAATGTTTCTCTGCATTTTTTTTCCAAACAAAAATGGAACAGATTTCTAGCTAATATATATTTTTCTTTATGAAAAAATAAGTTTCTATATTTCCATATCAAAATTTTGCGCCACATATTCTTTCAATGATAATATTTTAACAACATGAAATTTGGAAAGTGTTTTAATTAGATGAACGCCGTTAACAACTAAATAAATTTACGCTAATTATAGTGCTTTGAATTATCAGCTCATAAAGTCAATTAACAAAATACAAAGCAACTTGAGCTTTACAGCTTACATCCAAGTAATCTTTCAGTATGCTCATATTACCCTATCTAGGTGCTCATTTTACCCTATCCTACCCAACTAAATAATAATTAAATATATGTCCAAGTAATGACGTTAAATTGATGGTAGGGTAGAGTGGGTAACGTTATGGTGAGTACTAATATGATAAAAAGATAGCAACTAAAATAAAAAAAAACATTTTGTGTTTTATTATCCTGAAACTATTTGGTAAAATTTTTGATGAGCTGGCTTATTAGCGATATACCAAAGTAAAGCAAATTTAAATATGCCATATGTACCAGCAGCTTTTCGAATTCTAAGTTCCTTTTTATTTACAGCTAAAACTGCATTTCATCCTATTTTGAATGATTGATCTTTCTTATATAATTTCTTACCATCGTTGTTTACATCAAGCACTATTAATAATAGAAGTCAACTTATAAAAATAAAAATTTCTTTGAATTTATAACTAATATTGCTTTTCTAAATTATGAAAGTAATATTTTAGATTAAAAATAAAATCATCAAACTGCAAACAAAATGTCAATTATATATAACTTGTTGTCCCGATATGCCCCACAAAAGTCATTTTACTGGAATTAAAACTATTCAAAATTTTGAATAGTTTTATTAATAATAGTTTTATTTTATAAATTAGTGCGAAATATTTATTTAACTTCTAATTCCCACTAATCAGCCTTAAAAAAGATTTTATATCCGAAAATCGTCAAAAAAGCGCTCTAATTCCGACTTATAATAGGTTTTTCGCACTTTTTTGAGTCTAGTTCCGAGTTGCGTTCTATTAGGGAAAGGTCATTTCCAGATATTTTTTTAAAACCAGATTCTAAAAGAGGATAAAAAATACTGTCTAAAAAATATAAACTTTTTATAAATAAAGCAAATTAGCAAAAGTTTAAAATAAATCT